GCGCTATTCCCATTCCCTTTCGGTTCATCTCCTTTCTTCCGTTACTTTATATCGTCACGCTTCTATGTAGAAAACGAGTCGCGTACATAGAATTTCATGAGAAACGTAATAAACTTCTCGAGATGTAAGTCGCTTCCGCGAAGACTTTGATGTTTTCTCGAGGAAAACTTTAAATCGCATTTTTTAGGCCTGTACATATAAAAAAAAAAAAAAAAAAAAAACAAAGATACACCATACCGATCAAAGAAATGAAAAAAACTTATCCATTAACTGGCGAACCGGGGGGACGAGATGGAATCGCATTTCTCGGCCAACGACTCGCAGGTTCGCAGAATGGGAGGACGCGCGAGCGCGCGCTTATCAGAGAGTCCGGGCGTCATCGGTCCGACAATTAGCGAAGTTTAATCGCCGCTCGGTCAGCCGTAATTAAGGGTCGCTTTTCCACCAGAGTGTGACAAAAAGGAGAACGCGCAAATTAAAGCTGAAACTGAAATGCTAAACCCCGTTATGCGAACGGTACTTATCAAATGTACAATGATGTGGTTTTATTGCGCCTTATAATTAAATGAAAGCAATTTAATTTAAAAAAAAAAGTAAAAAAAAAAAAAAAAAGACAAATTAAAAATATATCGTTGAATATCCGTTGAGAAACGGAAAGACGTTAAATATCGCGTTAAATTGCTCTTGCAAAAGCAGTCGGGCGGAACGAACTATGTGCCCTGTGAGAATTTATTCTAAAAAAAAAAAAAATATTCTTCGAGTGAGATTGCAATCTCAATTAGGAACTACGCGGCTCGGGATATCGCGAGCCTGAAAATATTTTTCCTCCGAACGAAACGCCGCGTTATTCGGTCAAAGAAAGAGCGCACGCGAGAATGCAATCTCTCCTTTTAATAAGACACGCGGTAATTTTAATCCCTCAGTTTCCTTCGCTCCCACGTTTTCTCCCGTTTAATAGAATTTGTAACTCAGGGATTATGTGCGCGCGGTTGTCCGTGCTTAGATGGAACCGAAAGCACTCCCGCCCTCCCCCCCTCCCCCCTCTTGTTTTAAAAGCGTTGATTTAATGAAAATCGTGACTTTTATATATTTATTCCGTATTCCGCGTGCATACACTATTAATGGATCGTTTTATACATAATTGAATTGGTCGGCGTTTCGGAAATGATATCCTCTCATTGATTTTCCTCGCTTTTGCGCGCGCGCGCACACACATACATATATATATATATATACACACACACACACACGCATTTTCACTACAACGGCAAAGGGTTATTTGTGAAATGAATTAAACACGTTCGCGCAAAATTGAAAAATTTTGATACATAGAATTATCGAAATTAACGCGACGTTTTATCGGTTATGAATAATTTTATATCTGTCAATTTCAGAGGAATTTGTGTAAAATAACAATAAAATTATATCGGATTAAACGCGGATCTAAATTTGATACATATAAAACTACCGGTGTAAAGTGGGACGAAATTGCACTGCCAATATGTAGGACAAAATGGGGTATGACTTTGATTCCGCGAATCGTTAAATTTGTTCGTCAATTTCAGAAAATGAATGGTTTTCAAGTGCAATTCATTTCGGTTCTGATTAAACTTCGTTAATTATCGCCCGGCTATGATGCTTATCGCCGACATGGACGAAACGTACGTAGGGGTCGTCGCATTTTGCCCGGCAATGTTCTTAATAGACAAAAAGAGAGGCGGTAACCACACCGCATCAGACGGTCCCAACAAAAAGACTCTATTAAGAGCCATGCGCTCTGCTAACTCTAATTTCTTTCTTATCCAATTTTATGGTCGAACGAACAATCGTTGACACGAAATGTTTCGTGTCGTGTTTCGGCAGCACGTCACATCTCTACACAAGTATCGACCCCTTATATTATTTGCCTCTCTAATCTCTCTTGAAATATCAAATTTCTTTTCTAATTTCAAAATTCGAGAGACGTACGTTGAAATAAATTCTGTCCCGCGCTTCTGCAATTGTAGTCGCAAGTGATACATTCGTCTGTAACCGCGTCAAGCGGTTTGTCACAAAGCGTGCGAAAGCGTTTCTCGCGGGCTTAACTCGCGAGAGCTTTTTGCCGCGCAGCTTTCTCCTCGCAGCTTTTCGCGAGTGAGCGAATCGCATTATAGCGATTTGTGCGTTCATGCGATTTCTCCGCACCGCGCGCGCGCGTTAAATACACGCGCGCGTTAAATACACGCGCGCTTACGCGAATTGTCGAAGCGACGCAAATGTTCGTCGTGACTGATAATTAATTATAATAATCGGTACACGGCCGGGAGTTGGCGTAGACCGAAGAACAATAGCAATTTCGAGTTCCAACATGGCAAAGTCTTGCTAGTTTACCGAGATATCTAGGTCTCTCTTGCAAGAAACTAGCTCGAAATTTGAATTTCGAGTTGAAAGGGGACTTGAAACAAGGAGATCCTTACATTCGAGGATGGCCGGGTCCTTATCTCCTCGCTGGCCCACCGATCTGAAACAATGAAGAGAGAACAATGAAGAGAAAATTAGGATCTCACCGAGTGGTTTGTTTAGTTTAAGTGTATTGTTGCAATAAACGTTACCTGCAAAACAATTCGTATACAAACATTCATACAGACACACGCACCCCTACGCGATATTATTATTGGTATCATCAGACAGAACATATTATTTAGATATCTGTTGGCTCAGCGCGCCAACTACACTATGCTATAAACTCTCTGCTCTGTAATAAAATTTTATGTCAGCAAAAATATTTAACGAAACACCGATATTTGACGTCGCGTCAAAAGCAAAATTCCTTTGCTCTTCGCTCGTTTCACGAGCAAACCGAAGGTAAAATAACGACAATAACGGGATATCCGGCGAAAGGATCACCGCACCGGGGAGACATTAATCCTTTGTGCGAGGCGTATCGCAAACTTGGTGAAAGAGTAACAAGCGGAAATAAGCGATCCCTGTCACGAGGCAAAGAACAGAAGGAATACCCCCATAAGCCGATACCGAAAGAATTAGCCCCGGCTACGAGGACGCCATTTAAGCGAGTTGCTGTGCGCGAACTTTCGTAAAGTTTTGTGCTAACTAGAGGGCAAAAGGGGGAGAGAGAGCTTATAAACTCTCTAACGCTTGTGACTTCCCGAGCCAAAGTCTTCACAGCGCATCGAACAGAGAATATTGCTTACATACTGCGCGCTGCAGATAACCAATCATTGTACTTTGCTCTGTGTGTCTACTTTAATGCCTGTTTATTTCAAGTACTACCACGTCGAGAGCGAGCGTTGGAAAAAGTTTCTCGTCCGATCGTTTTAAAGTTCGTTTTACGTTCAACTGTTTAAGTTGAAAAATTGGAAATCTCGGAAAATGTAAAGTTTAAAATTGTTCTTTAAATTTTTAATTTGCTCCTTGCGTTTTTCCTATTCGTATATCGTAGCCGAAATAATTAGAAGAAGGTAGTGCCTAATTCGTACCTCCTCTCGAGAATTTGATCTTATTATTTTCTTTTTTTCTTCACTCTTAATGATCACGGATTGTTGCTTACAACGAATTCGATTTGGACGCACTAGTGCGCACTGAGTGCGTCCTAGTAGCAGAATATTTCAGTGTGTAGTGTAAAATACTAAAACTGAAATATTCTACTACACATTGAAAGAAGACGCACTCGGTGCGCACTAGTGCATCCAATCGAATTCGTCGTTATATTCAATAATGACAGTGGAATCTCGAAATAACGGATTGTACGGGACTGAATCCGCCATTGCACCCCCACTTCTGCTACGTTCAGGATCATGAAAAGGTATTTTGCCCACACACAAAAAGTATGCCGGTATACTTGTTAACACAATATGATGTAATACAACAGAACACCATAATAATTGTATATACTAATATTTGTATACACACGATCCGTAAGATACGTTACTTGCATAACCTAATCTAACCTAAACCTAACCCAACCTAACCCAAACCTAACCTAACCCAAACCTAACCCTAAACTAAATCTAACCTAAACCTAACCTAAATCTAACCTAAACCTAACCTAAATCTAACCTAAACCTAAACCTAAACCTAAACCATAGACGTAGAATGTATAGACTGCGCGTTCCCTACCTTTGCCATGTTAAGAAAATGAATCTTCAACGTTGAGAGAGACAGCTGGTGTTGAACAGTAGCCTCATCTCTGTCTAGCGAAGTAGTAGGGAGAAAAAGAAGTCTTCGCTGATTGATAGAACAGTAGTGGAAAAGTGGGGATAGAAAAATAGCGGGGATAAAGAGGAGTGAAGGAGATTAAGGGGTGAGGTTAGGTAATATGAAACAGTAGGCCCTGATCCCACCACAGACATTGATAGACAGAGAGAGAAAGTTACTGTTCAAAGTATGTTGTCTCTCTCAACCATGAAGACATCTTTTCAGCCAAACGCGCAGTCTATATATTCTACGTCTATGACCTAAACCCTAAACGACGCTGCGCCCGCTTTAGTAACAGTCACACATCACTGAGCGGTAAGTCCCCTCTTATGTTTCTGAAGAGACTTTATGCGCATGGAAGGGATGAATCCACTATTCCGAGGTTTTACTTTACGAAGAAATTAAAGAGGTACGATTTAGACGACCGATGTGTATTCGGCAACTCTTTTTATTCTGTATACTCTTTCTTTTTTTTTTTTTCATCTTTTCTCGGTATACGTAAAGTTTGCAGATTTCATCTCTCTGGGAATAGCACAAAGTGGTAGGCCCGCAAAAACACATTCCTCTGTGCGCGCTCAAGTCGACAAACCTCTCAATAGGCGGCAGGCGCGGGTACGAGTTTCGCGTGAAAGACCCGACCCCGCGCAACGAAGCTAATGCTCGTTCGCCCACGACTTCTTCCAGCGAGAGGACGGAGACCCAGATTTTTCTCGCGGTTTCCTCGTAATTTAGTCCCTTCCTGGTTTTCGTCGGCCAGAAACATAGAGAGACTCGACGAAGAAAGCAGCGGGATATCGAGGCCACGTGCACTTTAGCACCCGAGAGTCCAAACTCTCCTCCCGTCCCTCGTTCGCGATCGCGCGAAGAAAAAGAAGTTGGATTGAGAAGCAAACGAAAAGCGGAACGGCAAGAAGGACGGGGGAGGGGGGATGAGACGAGGGATCCAGTATTCAGTTGGAGAAGGTGGATCTGGCGGTTAAAAGCCTCGCAGTCTGCAAGTTTCTGACGATGGCGATACTTACGAGCGATTTGAGATTTAAGACCAGCTCGACGCCATTCATCGTCTAAAAGTCTCGTATCTGCGCGGCTGTCGGTTTTAATGATTAATACAGCTCGTCGCTGAAGGATTAAGCCGTAATAAATAGAGACGACTCTCTCTCTCTCTCTCTCTTTCTCTCTCTCTCGTGTGACTTTGCGCGCGCAAAAGAAAGAGAGAGAAGAAGCAAAAGGGGGGTGTCGCGCGGGAGTGGATGAAAGGATCAACTGAATCGAGTTATATTTTTATCTCCGACCTAATTTTGCGCTCCGAAATCGCAAATCTCGCGAGCGCGTCACGAACGTAAAAGTCGACGCTAGATGAAAAGGAGGTTTATGCAGAATGTGCTGAAAAACACAGGAGATACGATTCATGCCGGAGTGAATTTAAGCGTTAAACCTACGATTGCACAGTTATTTAACATTGAAAATTAAAAGATTCTCACGAATTAAGCGTCCGGAGGAGAGTCTGATGCGAAATCAAGAGTTCGCAGAAACGAGTTTAACTTATGCATGCGCCGTGTAATCTCCCTTCTACGTTCTGCCTAATGAACAAATTCCATTTTCTATATATATATATATATATACATATATATACACACACACACATATATATATATATATACAGGGTGTCCCAGAATTGGTTTAACATCGCTCGTAGGCAGGTAAAAGGAATAAAACTGAGGTGAAAAGTCCTATACCATTTTGCTAGATTTGCAATAGTTACTGAGATTTTAATTAACAAANATCCGCGAATAAGCATGCATCGGGCTGTCTTACGCGCGTAAGACTGCCCGCCGCGCTTCGCGCGCTAACGGTGTTACCCATCGCGACATATGGGAGGAGCTAATATAACAGCATATACTATAATATATACAAAATGTAATTGTGTGAAGCGCGCCGGGCTGTCCTACGCGCGTAAGATAGCCCGATGCACGCTTATTCGCGGATCTTTGTTAATTAAAATCTCNGTAACTATTGCGAATCTAGCAAAATGGTATAGGACTTTTCACCTCAGTTTTATTCCTTCTACCTGCCTACGAGAGATGTTAAACCAATTCTGGGACACCCTGTATATATATATATATATAGTACAGAGGATAGCCGCGGCACGCTTGTTTCTTCTGGTTTGTGTACGTGTGTACGTGTATGCGCTTTCTTATTTCAAAAAAATGATTCAAATGAGATTACCTATGTATACGCTATAAAAAAAAGGAGATCAAAAGGAGGTTAACGAAATTCCACGATGCTGCCCCGTATAGGGTTCAGCGCGCGCGCATGTTCTTCCTCATTACCCTTCAACCTCATTTCTATGGCGTCGCCGAACTGAAGCCACCGTTTTCCCGTCGCTGCTGCCACCTGATAACAACGTGCCGAGCATCGGGCGAAAATAAAAATACGAGACGCGCGGCTTTTGTTCGGTCGTGATGAGTCCGAACAATTCCCGTCCGCTCGTTTAATCGCGACGTCCATTTATACAACGGAGGATGGGGAAAGCGCAATGAGTGAGAGAGAGAGAAAAAGAAAAAGATAAAAAAATAATTGCGAACGAAGCGACGAGATCACCGGGCTCCGTTCGGAAGAATCGAGCGATCTGGCTTCCTTTGTTCAGCAGGATGCTCCTTCCTCCGCCGTGGTATTGTTCATAATCCTCGAGTCGAAAGCCCGCGCTGAGTTTTTTACGACTAGCCAATTGTCACGAACTGTATTTCGCACGTCGGTACACAGGATGTGCGAAGGGTAGGGGGACACGATGCTCATCGAAGCGGATAAATCGTGACGCGATCGTAATCCTGGCCACGAGAGAGTCCTGGTCAATCCCGTCCTGCATTTCGCTAATTAATCTCGGTAATTATTCGCTAGTTTGGCTCAACAGCGCCAACAGAGCGTCCCGCTATTTCGAAGCTTAACGTGATGACGCAACTAGAGATACCGCAAGAGCAATCTCTTCTAACTGTAAACTAATTAAAGATTAAACATGTTAATGGAGGCTTTTGACAAAGTGCTTCCTCATCGGATCCTCAGTGGATCATCATTGGTGCATCCGCACTCCTCTCTCTCCCTCTCCCTCTCCCTCTCTCTTTCTCTTTCTCTCTCTCTCTCTCTCTGTAACACGGTACAGTCCGTAAGACGTAATTAAATTATAATATACATTTAATAAACATTATACAAACGGTTAATTAATAAATTAGTGCGCAGCGTCTCGTGCAAATGCAAATAGTTTCTTCAGAGGGAGTTTCTTCTTCAAAGGACAAAAACTATTCCTGCATT